TATTTAATGTAAGAGCCCCCCATTTTTAAGAAATAATTTTACTTTCGTCATACCAAAATTAACTACCTTTTCATAGGATTGCTTTATGAAGAGGATAGGTTCCTAGAAATCTTAATGTTGTAGAGATTCTGTTGGGACTGTAAGAATTCTTAGGATATTATGTTATAGTAACATACTGTATGAAAGGAAGTCTGTCCTGCATTTAGTTTTATATGAAACTTCCATATTCCTTTATATGAAAGCCCTTACAAGGCTTTTCTTTGGATTTGAATACTTATCATAGTTTAAAATGATACAGGAGATCGTGTTGTAGATTCTCATTAAGCTGCTGCTGCATATAATTTAAAATATTTTTGCCATTTGGTTAATATATTAAAGAGCACACAAGATGGAATTTGCCTATACTAATCTTTAAGTATCAGTAGTTATCATATATATTATGTTTCCCATGGCATATTCCCATGTACCTATGATCATCTAAATTTTTATTGTAATGCTTGGTAAAGCATTTTTTTTTACATTGATGCACACCTATGTCCTTTTCCAAAGTGTGTTACTATTTAGGCATGCTCAGTTAACAGTTTTCTTATGACTTTTGTGTTGTAATTCATCTTTGTTGGATACATACTATATTTTGATTTTTAACCTATTTTGAGAAATATCTTATTAGAATATTCATGCCTACTAATTCAGTCAGGAAAATTGTCATTATTAAAATTATTATTAACAATACAAGCATTTTTATTAGAAATAAATATTTAAAAAAATACTTCAGGAAAAATCATTGAAAGGAATAAAAGCAGGGAGGTTTGGAATTTTTTTTATGTGACTTATTAAAAACAGAAAACTTAATTAGAGTTTTGGTGATCTCAATACAGTTTTTAACTCGGGTTAGGTAATTGAAATAGCAAAAAGCTATATATGATACGTATGAGCCCTAGTAACTTTAGGTTACATGCATGACCATTATATAGGCTGTTTCAAAGTATTAACTTAAAACTCCATACCTGAGATACATAGATGGATTGAATTATAAAATTAGAAGATCATTCACATTAGTGCATTTGTACACCTCTGAGTTGTGTTTGGAAAGGATAAAATGATGAGTGACAAAAATTAAAAATAGAAAATTCAAATTTGTTTCTGACAAGCTTTAGGGGAGGCCTGATAAAAGTCTGGGTAGAACTACTCTTCTACAGTCTCTGAGTTTTGTTACTTTTCAGTATGTTCTACTCTACTGTTCTGTCCTCTGCATAATAGTTTGCAACCCAAAACATGGTTAATCGATATCTGGATCTCACTGAATTCTCCCCCTTCCTCACATTCTAATTTTTGCAGATTTTTAGATCTCTTTAATATAGTTTCCATATCCCAGATATAGAAAGTCCTGTGACACATAAAAAAATTAAACATATCCTATGAGAGTAGCTAAAATGGGTTTAATGCCATTGAACCCTTTGGGATTTGATTATTTTATGTTTCTAAATATTGCAATTGATAACATTTCCTTTTATTATTATTTGTTCAATACATTTAACCAATAAAGATTTTGAGTCTTGTTCTTATATTCACCATAAATTGCAGAGTTAATCAAAAGCATCTTGTATGCCTGCTTTAAGGCATTCTGCGCAGAGGTACTTGGGAATTTTGGTCACTCTGTTATATGCCTGGTATGACTCTTCACAAAGAGAATTCTTTTTCTTTTTGTTTCACCCGAGGATATTTTTTCCATTGATCTTTTAGAGAGAGTGGAAGAGAGAGGGAAAAACAGAGCAACATCAATGTGAGAGAAACCCATCAATTGGTTGCCTCCTGCACGTGCCCCAACCAAGGCCCAGGCCAGGGAGGAGCCTTCAACCAAGGTGCATGCCCTTGACTGGAATCGAACCCAGGACCCTTGGTCCACTGAGCCAGACCTAGGCTCAGTGCCACAAAGAAAATTCTTAATTTAACTCTTTATTGCCTGAATTTTGAAACATTTCCTTCTCTCTGCCTTATTAAGTAGCAGCCTTAATAATACCCAAGCCCATTTAGCTCAGGTACAGACACATAAACCAATGTAATAAAAATGGAGAACAGAGAAAAAAGAAATAATACCCAAGCCCAAATATAGTGATCGGCTCCCACATCTGTGTCAGGAAGTGTTTGTCATCTGATGGACATATGTGCCTTCGGCACTTCTCAGACACAAAGCCAGCATCCACCTACGAATTGAAAGCTCTGATAAGCTTCAAATGATTGATTAAGGTTATATTTCAGCAGTTAGTCATCATTTCTTATGTTCTAAAAGAGATACTGCTGAACTAAATGATCTTATTCCAAATAGAGTAGGAAAATGTAATGATTCTGGCATAGCAATAGATTTTTTTTAAAAAAGAACCTTTATACACACACTTGCACACACACATTTTTTAACCCTGTAATATTCATCTTGGGAAACTATCTTAAGGAAACTATCCTAAATATAGAGAGAGATCTTATGTAGAAAGTTATTCATCGCTTTACTTATAGTCACCAGTAAATCGAGAATAGCCACCATTAGGATAATAGAATATAATGTAGCTACTTAAAATTGTTTCCATAATGTATGGAAAAGTCCTTACATAATAGTTTTTTTAAAAGGATATAACATTATATAAACTATACACATTGTGTTTGCAGCTGTGTAAGAAATACATAGAGCCTGGCTTGCATGGCGCAGTGGTTGAGTCTCCATCTATGAATCAGGAGGTCACCGTCCAATTCCCGGACAGGGCATATGCCCAGGTTGCAGGTTCGATCCCCAGTGTCGGGTGTGCTGGAGGCAGCCGATCAATGATTCTCTCTCATCATTGATGTTTCTCTCTCTCCCTCTCCAATCCTCTCTGAAATCAATAAAAATATATTTTTTTCAAAAAGAAATACATAGAAAAAGTCTAAAAAGAAATGCCCCAAATTTTAATTAGTTGCCTAGGACTCCGTGGTCGGCAAACTGCGGCTCGCAAGCTACATGCGGCTCTTTGGCCCCTTGAGTGTGGCTCTTCCTAAGCCTTAGGAGTACCCTAATTAAGTTAATAACAATGTACCTACCTATATAGTTTAAGTTTAAAAAATTTGGCCCTCAAAAGAAATTCCAATCATTGTACTGTTGATATTTGGCTCTGTTGACTAATGAGTTTGCCAGCCACTGCCTTAGGTGATAGAACTGTCGTTGATTTTTTTCCCTACTTTATTTTGTACATATCTTACAATGAGCATATATTACCTTTTTAATACTAAAATACTTTAAGAAGTAAAAGTATGCAATAATATATGATATATTATAATTCTAAGATGATATTTTATGTGAGTCATTTTGAAAGAATTATACTTTTGAATTATGGAAGAATTATTTTTGCTTGAATTTAGAAATGAATTGGGAGGCAGCTTTATGAAACTGTTATTATGCTTCTACTTGAGCCCTAAAATGAGAAGCATGACTCAGTTCTTAATACTTATGAAATACAATTAAGATGGCACTCTTCTTTTTTTGTCTGTTTTTTCAAATGTTAATCCTCACCCAAGGATATATTTTTCATTAATGAGAGAGAGAGAGAGAGAGAGAGAGAATCATCAGTGTGAGAAAAAATCATCCATTGGTTGCCTCACGTTAAGTCCTCGATCAGGGATCGAACCTGCGACCCTTCAGTTCACAGGATGACACTAGCCAATGAGCACGCCAGCCAGCAAGATGGCACTATTCTTTATTCAGATGTTTCAGTTACCTAAGCAACAACAAATGTGCCATCCATTAGAAATGCTTTCTGTTCTGTAAATAGAGCCTTGTTGGTGCTGCTTTTAAATGCACATGGCAAAGGCATTGGAATAGTTCTCCAGGTAGCTTTCTGTGTCTAGAAGTGTGATTGTCCATGTCTAAAAGTGCCTGAAACAACTACTGTAACATTAATGGAATCATTAAAATATATTCTGAGTTAATAATTGCCTTCAATTTTTAACTAGCTATATCTTGAGCATGTATCTATGTTGTTTGTATATAAATATGAACTGTTTTGCCTATGGAAGGTTATACTACAGCTTGGGGAAAATAATTACTATCTGAAAATGCAAAAGAAAACTAAGCAATAAAGTCAGTCAGAATACATTATTTTTTGAATGGTATTACTTTCTTAAAATACAACAAAAGGAGCTATGATCATAAGCTTCTATACTTGAATATTTATGAGAAATTATTTTGACTGATTTTAATGTGATTGCAGCTAGCTTTAATCCTAACCCCTTTCTCTCCCTAAGTTAAAAAATAAATGTGAAAAATTTTAGCAAAATCCTCCATCAGTGAAAATGCACAGAAATCACACCGACACCAAAGCTTGAAGCGAAAGCTCTGATGCACATTTCACCTGTGTTCTCACTTTAAATTCTGTACATCTCTATTGGCTTGGGATTGTAAACTTTGAAACCGTCACCATAAGATCGTAACAGTCTATGAATTTGGAATGTTGGGCTCAGTTTTTCACAGATGTATTTTGTAGGTTTTGGTAGTCTGAAATTAGAAACATCTATAAACCTTCTGATTAATAGTTGTTAGCCTCATTTTGAATGAATACTTATGGCCACCACATGTTGTCAGGTACTGCTTAGGGCAGTGGTTGCCAACCTTTCAGACCTCACGGACCACCAGTTGGTGACTGCTGGCTTAGGGTATTGGTTTCAAGGGCTTCCCTTAGTGTTGTGGATATACCAAGATCAGCCTCTGAGGGATATGTAGAGAATGTATATTACAGCCTTAGGTTTCCTTGCCTATTATGCGAGTATTTTAAAGAGTACATATAGATAGATTTTTTTTTTAAGTTTTGCAATTTGCTATAGAATACATTTATTTTAAATATAGAAAGCATAAGGTGTATCATATAGGGTGGCAACTCAATTTCTGTGTGGGCTGTTTAATTGAGAGACGTTATTTTCAGTCTCCTTCTTTTGTGAGCTCTGCTGTGAACCGCAAATTGTGTGCATGTGTATAAAAGGTTAAGAGCCCGGGTAGCTGAGTGGGGTGCCATGCTGTTAGCAGACGACGAAGGCAGTATTACTCACCAGGTGCACGCCGTCAGCTCTGTTGAAGATTCCATCTTCATGGAGTCATCTCATGGTCCACTTTTTCTTGAAGCCAGGTAACATTTCCCACAAGCAGTGGGTTGTTGACCTTGTTGGAGTTTTTCCAGCTGGAAAAACTCAAACCTAAGTAGTCTCCTCCCTAACTTTAAACAAACAAATCAATAAAAAGAACATTGCCTGTTGAAAGGACTAATTCGAAAGGTGGAATGAATCTGTGTTATCACTTTGCTTTGCAAAATAATAATTATGTAAGGAGTGATTTTTTTTAAATAGAAACTGGGGAGGATAAGAAACCGGAGTGCTGAGTGTTGTTTTGCAGGGTGCCAAGCATGGAGCGCTCTGGATTGTAGTATAGTCTTGTTTCCAGGAATGTACAGATTGCATTTTGTGATAACTAATCTGATCACTCTTTGTCTATTACTGAGGCACAGTAGTTTTATACAATTTCTCTTCTTGGCTCTTAACTCTTTTGCATGTAACAGTGTCTTGGTCTTTTGATGATGTATGATTTTTGCTTCAAACTTGTTTGTTTAACTTACTTGTAAAATAACCTGAACTAGACAGTCTAAGCTCTTAATTCTATATCACCTCAATTGTGTTCACTTAACTAAAACTTCAGTGACGCTTGAATAAAATGTTCCAACCTTTGCTTTAAAGCTTTATCCTCTTCATGGTAAGCTGTCATACTTGAGACTCTTGAGGGTGCTTAGCAGTGTTATTAACTGAGCATGCTCACAAACTCAGTTTGTGGTACAGGCTGTCCCTGTTCTTGTCATGCATAATATGGCTTTTTTTTTTTTACATCATTTACTTTTCATTCCATCATGTTACACTATGTCCTTTAGTTGATACCATTGTCACTGCCTGTCCGACTAATACCAGAGTTTGTTTGTTTGTTTTCCTTTCTTTAATCAGCATTAACCAAATTAATGCAAACTGGTAAATCTTCCCCACCCCCTTTGCTATTTTTGGGGTAAATTTTTATGGGGCTCAGTATTTCCAAAGTTGACTTTAAGCATTGCTCTTAGAAAAGTATTGTCACTTGTCGCTTAACTGCTTACAAGATAGCTTTCAATTCCTGGGGACTCAAAATTGCACATTAAGTTCCTTTCATTTTGAAGGACCATGGTGGTATTAAAAAGTGGTACATGATTTGTCTAAGTTCTCCATTTCCCGTGTGAAGAAAATGTATAAAAATTTAAATGTTGTTTACTCTCAAATAGTAGTTCATTGTAAAGACAGTTATTTTTATTGATTTCCACATTGCAAGGTAATGATCAACTAAGCAATGTACATGTGGCTATACTGATAAATGTTTTTAATTAAGCATTACCGTATGCAATTAGCCTGACAAGTGTGCTAATACTTCCCTAAAAGTAGACTGTCAATACTGGTGTTTTCATACTAATCATGTTTTCAACATTAATTATATTTTCTGACTACAGGCACGTGACACAAGCTGACCTCAAGAGTTCCACGTTTTGGCTTCGAGCAAGTTTTGGTGCTACTGTTTTTGCCGTTTTGGGCTTTGCCATGTACAAAGCATTATTGAAACAGCGATGATTTAAAACAAAAAAATACTGGCCCCTACCAAAAACAAATACTTTTATGTACATTCTGAATGCTTTAAATTCTGCTAGAAATATTGACATATTTATACATGCAGAGTTACTTTATTAATTATTTGTAATTCGTGCATAAGAGTATTTTAACGATAGTTGTAACTGCAGTATTGGCTAGCATATGGAAAGAAACAGCTTAACAGCCAGACTAAAGTGGCTAAATTCCAGAGGCCAAAAGGGAATGTTTTGTAAATAATGTACATATTCAGGCAAGATATGGTCTCCCAAACTGAGTTCTAGAAATGATATTTCTAGATGTTTCTACATGGTATTGTTAGTGCTCAGTTGGCTCACTCTCCTAGGCTTAAGTCAGTTCAGAGATTGTATTTACTCATGGATCACTTATTTATTTACATTTACTCCGAATGTTCTTTGGGTCCTTCAAGTACCGGAGGCACAATTTACCACTTTCTCTCCGTTTGTAAAAACAAACAAGTCATTGTCAGCTTACCAGCACAACCTTCTTTCAGTCACTTGGGTAGGCCAGCCTGGAAGCTACCGGGCTAGCTAGACAATTGTAAAACTGAGTGTGAGGAGCTTTAAGGAAGGAGGAGCTAAAGGCAATTAGAGGTGTTACCTGCGCGATTATGTTGCTTCCTTTGTCAGGATGTTGAATTTTATAGCCCTTTCAATCAAATGAGAAAAAAGATTTGTATATTATCAATGTTTTTAGTTCAAATAAACAGTCACCACTGCAACAATTGAATTTCCTCCCAAAGTGTAAATCATTCTACAAGGGCTGTGTCTGTCCTAGTGATTCAGCAGCTGCATGTATCATGAAGTGTTCTATGTCTGTCTGGGATAACCTAGAAGCAGCACTTTTTTAAATGGTAAAATAAGTCTAATGAATATAAACTCTCATGATAAACCTATTTTTTCCATCATTGACCTTTTCAAGTATTTAAATAAATGACCACTGTGTACTGTGATCCTGGGTTTTGTGTCTTACAAAGTAAATATTCCTGTATAGATGTAAGTGAAATTCTGTGCTTTCTATCTTCCTACCTTGAAAGTACTCATTATATATAAAAATATAATACTCATTAGGAAAGAAGACAAGTATGATTTGTGTGTATAATAGGAAATCAGAGACTAGATTGTTGTTTTCCTCTGCACACACTTCACTAGTATTGTTTCTACTATAATTCACATGTTTCTTTTCTCCTTTAGCGTGGACTTTACCCCTTTGCTCTTCTGAGAAATGTTTTCTCATAAGATCACACTTCTCTTTTTTTTTTAAATCTTTATTATTGAAAGTATCTCATAGGTCTAGGTCAGCCGTGGGCAAACTACGGCCCGCAGGCTGGATCCAGCCCATTTGAAATGAATAAAACAAAAAAAAAAAAAAAAGACCGTACCCTTTTATGTAATGATGTTTACTTTGAATTTATATTACTTCACACAAACACTCTATCCATGCTTTTGTTCCCGCCCTCCGGTCCAATGTAAGAACCCATTGTGGCCCTCGAGTCAAAAAGTTTGCCCACCCCTGGTCTAGGTCCTCCTTTTCCCCCCATTAACCTCCCCCAGGCCCTCACCACGCCTTTGTCTGTGTCCACAGGTTATGCATGTATGCATACAAGTTCATTGATCTCTTCCCACTCACCCTCCCTTGCCTTCCCTCTGAAGGATACTTCTTGAGCAGCTACTAGCAGCATAATTTACTGGCTGTAGCCTTGTAAATAATATGTGCCCTATGTACTTGTGTACTCCCCTGTCTCCTCTCCCCCATTTTATTCCCAACTTGAGGAAAAGGAAAATTAAGTAAAATCTGGCAACTCCTCATTTGCATTATTTTCTGAGAGAATTCCATTTACCAAATAAATTTGTCAGTTACACAGCTTCCAATGACAGTTAACTCTTCCCTTCCGAGTTCTTCCCTGTTCAGACTAAACCATGAATATTCCTTATAAATTGTTGCATTTGTGAGAAACGGGCAAGAAGGTAGTTTGCCAAGAGGTAGAAAGTATTGTATTACTTACTTAGATTTTTCTCTCTTAGTCTTTTTATTTGAAAGTTTAAATGTCCGATTCACAGAAGACAGACAGGCAGTGCCCTAGGTCTCCCCGCTCAGCCTAGCAGCCTCCTCTGCTTCAGTGAGGCCAGCCAGGCAGGTTTGCAGAGGGAATGCTCACCGGTGTCTCCTCTTTAACCTACAAGCTCATGCGGACATTTCTCATTTCACATCCACTTTAGAGACTCGGTAATGCAGGGAGTTACGTGAATAAATACAGTAATAGGATTCTCCCAGCTTTAACATTTCCTCAGAGTATGCAAGCCATAGGAGTACTAAGGAAATGGAAACTTGAAGATAGGAGATCTTTCACTTTGCACCAATTACATTATCTTTGAAATGGACAATTCTGAGAATGTTTGCTATAACATTTTAATGAATAGGGAGGCAGTCATGTGAAGAAACATCGCTTTGAAGGTTTGCAGTCCTGTGGCATAATGGAATAGCATAGCTTTACTGAGCACATTAGAGTCTGCCGGTTCTTTCCATTCATATAGCTTTCTCTTTCACATTTGACCAAAAACAGCAATAGCCCACATTGTGGGACTTAGAAATGCTGCAGTGGGAGTAGGTTCTGCTGTCAGGGGCTTGGGGAGCACATAACCATTCTGACATGGCCTCTGAAGGAAGCGGGATGAGGGCTGCACACGTATGTGCATCACCTGTCAGGGGCAGGCATCAAAATGACAATGGACTAATGAGCCAGTTTTCTGACCTCAGGGAAGGCAACTGAACAATGAATAGCAGGGGGGAAACGGGTAAGGGCTCAGGCTCTGGGTAGAGCATAAATCTTCCTTCAGTAGTCCTCAGAATGGACCTGGTGTTAGCGTTGATGCCCTTTTGTTTGATTTGACCTAATAGTCAATATAAAAATATGCACAACTCTTCAAAATGAGTATGTGACCTAGTTTTCAAAAACATTTACTTGGCATTGTTCTTTCATTTTGATTTATTTTTTTAAATATATTTTATTGATTTTTTACAGAGAGGAAAGGAGAGAGATAGAGAGTTAGAAACATCAATGAGAGAGAAACATCGATCAGCTGCCTCCTACACCCCTCCCACTGGGGATGTGCCCGCAACCCAGGTACATGCCCTTGACCGGAATCGAACCTGGGACCCTTCAGTCCGCAGGCCGACGCTCTATCCACTGAGCCAAACCGGTTTCAGCTCATTTTTATTTTTTATTTCATTTTTTTATTGGTTGATTTTAGGAAGAGAAACATGGATTTTTGTTGTTCTACTTATTGTTGCATTCATTGGTTGGTTCTCATCCCTTAAAATTTTTTAAAATATGTTTTTATTTTTATTGATTTCAGACAGGAAGGGAGAAAGAGCTAGAAACATCCATGATGCGAGAGAATCATTGATTGGCTGTATCCTGCGCGCCCTCTATTGGGGATCAAGCCCACAACCCAGCATGTGCCCTTGACTGAAATTGAACCCAGGACCCTTCAGTCCGCAGGCTGACGCTCTATCCACTGAGCAAACCCGGCTAGGGCCCATCCTTTAATTTTTAATAGTCCCATGTGTTTTTAGGAAGTTCATTGGGGGCTAGATACTTTTTGAGAACTATCACATGTCAAGAAACTAAATTTATGTTTAGAGTATGAGAATGCTCCACACAGGCAGCCTCACTCCAAAAACTTTGACACACACACTCCCTCCCCCGCCCCCAGATTCACAGCCCCAGTAGCCCATTTATTAAAACATCTAAGCTTAGTGAGTAAGTCTTTTTTTAAAAAATATATTTTTTATTGATTTTTTACAGAGAGGAAGGGAGAGAGATAGAGAGTTAGAAACATCGATTAGCTGTCTCCTGCACATCTCCTACTGGGGATGTGCCCGCAACCCAGGTTCAGTGGATAGAGCGTCAGCCTGCAGACTGAAGGGTCCCATGTTCGATTCCAGTCAGGGGAAGGGAGCTCTTTCCAGGAAAAGAAGTTCCAAGTGGTACCCCAAATTGCTATTTGGTGGGTTTCCAAACACTTTGTTAAAGATTCTTTATTTC